ACATATTATCGTAAAACAAACATACTAAATTAATTAACATAAATAACATTGTAAATGAATAATAATTTAAAGAGAAACATACATATTCAAATGTTTGAAATTAATAAAATTCATTTTTTACACATAAAAATAAATCGTATTGCTTGTTTTGTAAATAATTTAATCGTATTGGTTGTTTTAAATAATTTAATCGAATACAGAGCAACACTCGTTAGACTCTTAGAATAGGTATACATCTTCTTAGAAACGCAGTCTTTTTGACAGAAAAAGGGGGGATCCGAGGATCTCTTAATACCCGATTTTCCCAGGGAATGGGAGGATATGATAATCGCTTAAAACCCCATTTCCTTAGACGTGCATCTCTTTATAAAGAGTCGAAGTAAGTGGCGCTATGTATTCGATTAAATTATTGAAAACAACCAACACGATTAAAAATTCAACATAAATTTATTTTATATTCCACTAAATACATTAGCAAAATAAAAGAAAGACAAATGGTGAAGAATTGTATGTACTGGGTGATCGTTCCAAACATCCCTTGACCGATGGTTGGGTTGGTCGTACAAGTCGGTTGGATCCAACGGTCCTTGCTCGAGATAATACTGTTGGTTGTATATATCCACTTCGTCCCCAACCTACGAGAAAATAACAAGGAGGTTAGTACATAGATTAATTAAAAAGTTTATAACAATAACAAAAATTAAACCAGAATAATGAGTACGTACCGCTAGAAATTCATCAACATAAACTCCCTCTCCTTGCCACCAATCGGCCATTTTTTCCGGAAATTAGGACAGAGATTCGGCTCGTTGGGTTTTGAGGAAAAAACCAAAATTCAGACAGAGATTCGGCTCGGCGGGTTTTGAGGAAAAAACCTAAGAAATGTTTTCTGATGGCAGATCGGACTTAGCAGCAACCAACAGACCACTATTTCCTAGGCTTTTGGGAGGGGAGGGGAGGGGTTAGAGAGCTAAGTCTAGGGAGAGAGAGTGGAGAAAAGTTGTGGTGTGAAAAAAATGAGAGGGGGGAGGGGGTATTTATACCCATCAGACCGCACCCTCCAGGGGCGGTCGGGTAATTTTGCCCCAGTCAAAACCGCACCTTGCCGAGGCGGTTTGCACTCCCCGAAGTTTGACGGCACCTCGGCGCAGCGGTCTTCGATCCGTGGCAAGGATCGCTGGCTTGGCAAGCATTCCGCCCTTGGATCGCAGCTCCATCCGACGGTCTCCAACCCCGCTGCCCAGAAAACACAAACCGCACTTGGATGATGCGGTGCGTTTGCTGACTTGGATTGGACCGCACCTCTACAATACGGTCTATTAAAAATGGTGCTATTAGTGTAATTTTTTTGGCTGGGTGCTAGTTTTGTAAATTTTTTTAAACGTGCTATTATTGGAAAAATCACATTAATGCACACAACACATGATGGTTTCCCTTCCCCTAATTTTTAATTAATGACCAACTTAACTATCCTTTCACTTTCCCTCATTAATTGTGAATTTGTGATCAACTTATTTAAATTAAAAAGTAATAAAAAAGAAAATTTTCTATTAGCTATAACAAATTTTAGCACCACACTAACAAAAAAGTGTTAAGCATTCTAGTCCTTCCTCTTGGAAATCCTTTCAATTATATTTAGTTGGATATGCAACTTGGAAAGCACCATGTCGGTGTTTAGAGTGCCAGAGGGAGTTTGGATGAGATGAGAAGGGTGATTTCGGCATTCTGGTGGGGACAACGGGGGGAGAAAAACGAATCCCATGGAAAGCTTGGAAGAACTTATGCAAGCCTAAAAAGGAATGGGGGATGGGATTTAGAGATTTTGGCACTTTTAACCTGGCTCTACTAGGGAAGCAAATCTGGAACATAATGGAGAATCCAGAAACTCTAGTAGCTCGGATTCTAAAAGCTAAATACTTCTCACATTCTTATATCTTAAGTGCCTCTAACGATAATAACCCAAGTTATACTTGGAGGAGCTAGATGGCAGCATAGAATCTAGTGAAGCAAGGATTGTGATGGAAGCTAGGGAATGGCTCGAACATTGATATATGGGAGGATAGATGGATCCCATGAGATGAAGAGGACGACCATAGAGCGACATCTATGAGGTCAAATGTGGGGGAACGTGATCAAGTGGATGTTTTAATCGACTTTGATACTATAACCTGGAAGAGATCGTTGCTGCAACACTATTTCAATGTTGTGGATAGAGCTTGCATTGAAGGGATACCTATTGCGAGGCACCCATCAGCGGATAAAAGAATATGGAGCAGAGAGAAATCGGGCAAGTATACAGTTCGATTAGCGTACCAATTTTGGTACAAGACCAAGAACAATGAAGAGACATGGGAGGAGAGTGAAGAGGCAGAAGGAGAAATATACGACCCTATGAATTTGAAGCGTCTATGGACTCTAAATGTTCCTCCAAAGGTGAAAAACTTTCTGTGGAGATTTTCCCATGACATTCTCCCAACGGGGAAGAACATAGAGGGGAGGAAGAAAGATGCACCAAGTGAATGTCCATACTGCAACCAGGACGAGACACAAATTCATATATTCAGGGAATGCTCGGGACCACTAGGATCTGGAGACCAACGAAATACAGACCTCTATTCGAATCAGGGGAAAATCTATCCAATGGTAGCTGACTATGCGAAATAATGGAGCGAGTGGATGATGAAGTGCTTAGTCGATTGGGGATGATTCTTATGGAAGATATGGGGTGAAAGAAACAATCATTTATTCAACAATCACAAATTGGAAGAATGAGAGATTGTCGGTCGAGCCCTAGATCTACTCGAAGAATTCCAATCACACAGAGAAAAGGAACATGAGACAGAAGGGGAAGAAAGGGTTACCTGGTCGCCGCCACCGATTGGCTGGAACAAGGTCAACGTCGATGTCACTGTGTTGAAGAACGAAGGAATTGGGTTGGACATGGTGGCGAGGGAACGTTCCCAGTGGGAACCGGAGCTGACAGAAGCTAGAGTTGTGCTCTACGGGCTGAGACTCGCAATTCAAAATCAGCTACTCCCAGTGATCATCGAGACGGACTGTCAAGGACTGGTGAAGCAGTTTGGAAATGGTGAACGAAAGAGAACGAAGGTGGAGTCGATTGTGGAGGAGATAGAAGAGATAGCGGAAGAAGTCAGGTTGGAGAACTTTCGGTGGGCTTTTGCCAAACGACAGGCCAACTCTGCAGCCCATCTGATGGCTCACACAACATGTAACTGGGAGGCCCACGAGATATGGGTCACCAGACCTCCTATTTTCCTCGGTTTTGTTCTTGTTCAGGACTATAATGGCTCTTTCTCTATCTTAATAAAATCAGCAGGTTTCTATAAGGGCAATGTCTATTTTTTACCCAAACCTTTTTCAGATTCTTTTATTTTAACCAAACCTATTGAATTCCTAAAAATTATCCAAACGTTAACTCTCCGTCAACTTTTCTGTTTGTAATGTTGACTAAGTATGACCATAATGAGTTTAATTTCTACGTGGCGGTCAGAATACCATCATTTACTATTTTTAATAAAAAGATTATCAAAAAACAAAACAAAATCTCACCTCTCACGTGGACGAAATAAGTAACGGTAACAGAATGAATGCCCAGACTTTGATAAATTATAATACGTTTGGATAATAAATAGAATTTCTATAGGTTTGCTTAAAATAAAAGAATCTGAAAAAGGTTTGGGTAAAAAATAGTCATTGCCCTTTCTATAAATATATATATATATATATATATATATATATATATATATATACATATATGGTGCCTTCTACGGTACCCCAGGTGAAATTCGGGGTACCGCATACCTTAAGTATGAAAACACTATCTAGGCCTCGAATTAGCAGGATTTTTGGGTATGATACTATACCCTAACCCTTAATGAGTGAACCCTAGGTCCTAATTATCTAAATTATAAACCCTAAGATGGTGCATTGATTTTTTGCCTATATTTGGACGAATCATAACCGTCGATTATTGTTTCTAATTAAATTGATCTTGGGGTATAAGATTTAGAGAATTGAGACCTAGATGTTGATCTTTAATGGTTAGAGTATAGTATAAGAGAAATTTTACAATGCTATATAGTATTGGTGCTATAGGGTTTTGTCTTTATGGTACATCTTAAAATTGTACCTATACTTTTTGTACAGATTCTTTTACGGTACAATTTGAACTTGTACCTTTATGTGATGGTACAACTTCAAGTTGTAAAGTTGTACCATAACATAATGGTACAAATTGTTTTATGGTACAACCTAAACTTATACATTTAATTTTATGGTACAACTTTAAGTTGTACATTAAAGCACCAATACTATATAGCATAGTAGAAGTGCTCTAGTATAATGTCCGAAAGATTAGTCAATTCAAGTTCTAGATAGCGTTTTCTTACTCAAGTTATGCGGTACCCCGGATTTCACCCAGGCTAGCGTACGTCAGTCGTACATTGTACGCCCATTGAGTTTTACTATTTAGAGTAGGAATTAATCGAAATTTTGGGCATGATACTATACCCTAACCTCTAATGGATAAACCCCAGTCCCTAATTCTCTAACCCAAGCCACGAGATTCATTTAATCTAAAAAATAATAACCGACGGTTCTGATTCAGTGAAATATATTGAAGTGCAAAAACCAAGTGTGAACACAGGCGTACAGTGTACGACTGACGTACGCTACCATGGGTCAGACTGGCGTACGTCAGGCGTATACTATACGTCAGGTACTACTAGTGAGATATCTCTATCTAGATCATGAATTACATCGAGTTTGTGGTATGATACTATACCCTAACATCTAATGGATAAACCCCAGTCACAGATTTTCTAAACCCCAACCTGAAGTTTGATTTAATGAGAAACAAAAATTGACCGTTGAGATCGGCCGGAGCTCATCTAAGTACATCTAACGGCTAGATCACCTAACGTATAGTATACGCCTGACGTACGCCAGTCATTACCATATATATATATATATATATATGTATGCAACTTAGAACAGAAGTTACGGAAATTGAATTGTGTTTCTTTTACGTCAAAGGTGAATCTCTTATTGCTACGAGAATCTCCAAGCCTTTCCCGTGGGCCGCAAGCTATGTTCCTATAATAAGTTGAGATTCCGTCAACAATTGCATGTCCGATATGTAGCCAACCACATGATGAAATGGTTTCGGTTTTTGCCAATGTGGTCCGTAAGCGAGTAAGCCCACCAAGTTTAGAAGATAGTGCTCCAGAAACATGTCATGTCGTCACTTGTAGCATCGATCTAGCTAGCAGCCAACATAATATTTCACACCCCATCCAAGTTGAGCTTCAGAATGTCTGGGTGACCATCAAGCTGGACCTAAAGGGAGGGGATTAAACAAGTGCAGACGTTATAAACTGAGAAGCAAGGCTGCTTTGAGATGAGGTTGGAAAGAATCATGAGGTACTATGTTGTAACTAGCGAATTCAGCGTAGCAGGCACACACATACAGAAAATGCTGATTGGAATTGAAGGTTGGGGCTACAAGGTCAGACTAAGCTTCAAAGACTTCATTGAGTACACAAGATCCAAATGAGATATACTGTCGCAACACACAACAGCAAAAGAAGCGAAGAAAAAGGGTCCAGAAATGAAGAGCAGGTACCTTCTAGGTAAATACAAGACTAACTCAAACCAATGAAACAGCGAAGAAGCTACAATCTGCTGGTATCAGAACAGACAAACATAATCCAAACCCTCACTAGTACAACGACTGCACACTGCCCGTTCATCCGATCTACCAAGCTACGCAAAAGACTCAACACCACAACAATCATACCCCTGTCTTGCGCAGTTCAGCTGCCCCGTGAGCAAAATTACACCTCTGACCGAAGCTACAAGCCCCTTTGTTAAAATTGTCGCATATCTTTGTCTTATAGTTGCTTCCTGGATGATGCTTCTCCCCCGAGAACCCACCTGATGGCTTGCTGTAGCTGTGGCCATGGCCATAGCCACCAGCTGGACCTACATTTGCAATCAGCTCTTTCACCATCGCGCTGGCTTGACCAATCTGGTCAAACGTCCCCTCCAACTCGATGTTCCTAAGATTAGCATCCGTCTCATGCTCCCTGATCGACAGCTTGGCTCCTGTCTGCCTGCTTATCTGCTTCGAGTTCACGCCTCCTTTTCCAATTATGGCCCCCGCAAGTGACGCATTGACGCTGATCTTTGCAGTAGCTGTATCGCCAAAGCCCACTAGTGGGCCTGGTGGGGGCGGCTCCATCCGGTTCATCATTCGGGTACCAGGAGGAGGTGGGCCAGACATACGGTGATGGTCATCGTGAGACGGAGCAATTGGCCTCCCAAGCTCCCACTCACCATGTGCAAAATGGCACTTGTCACCATACTTACATCCTTCAGCGGTGTTGTACTTGTTGCACATCCGGTTTTTGATTGAGGGTGCATTATTAGAGCCATTGGAGACTGGTTGAGGTGGGGGCATGTTGTTCTTTGGCATGGGTGTGCTGGATTTGTTCATGTGTTGGGCCACTGCATTGTACCCACCCGGTACATAGTGCAGGAAGTGGCAACCCTCGCCGAATGGACAGCCAGCAGTACTGCATTACGGAGGAAATTCAGCTCAGAAAGCAATCATCATGGAATAAGCATTCAAAAATGATGGCTTATGTCTTATGAACCCCAAAGAACAGTCGAGAACACTAAGATTGTGCCAGGCATATATCGAACCCAGAGGAAAACTATACCATAGTGAAGTAATAGCTTCATTGATCAAAAATAGAGAAGAGAAGGAATGCACATGCATGAGAACACGGCATAAGAAAAAACCATTGATTGGAGTTGAAAACCCAGCATGCCACAAAAGCACCAACACATCATAAATGTCAGAAAAACCTGAACTCACGAAGATTCCAAAAACACGAAAGTAGCCTGTACATAGGCAAAAACAACCTAGATAAGTTCACCAAGCTTTTAGAAATCAACATCATCTATTGAGATTTTGGAATGAACTAGCATCCATTTGCCTCAAAACACATGACCATGCTGCAGTTGGTGCAATTACATCTTACCTTGTAGACTTTTACTTTAGCTTACCATTCGACAGTAGCATTCAATACTCAATAGTCTAGTTAAGCAGTTGTTACAATCAAAATCAACTCCCTCAAATTATCGAGTAATGCTGGAGGCACCCTTTGGGCCACAACTATTGGAGGCAATCAATTATTACTGGGATGCAGTTGTTATCCAATGAAAAGGACGTCTCTCCGCTAAATCAATTAGTTAACTTGATAGGATGAGGGCAGAGTTACAAGTTTTGTACCTGTAAGGGTATGATACCAATTTCATTAGAGAAGCAGAAATGTTATGAGTAGTGAATTCAATTCTCCCACTAACTTTGTAATGATTAATAGTGATACTGCAATCCAAGATGATTATTTAGGTGAGAAAGGATTAGAACCTGAAAAACTTGGTGCATGGCTTCGATTTGCTTCCTACACCAGTTGATAACGAGTCCATTTCTGTTAACAAACATTAGTTGCCTTTCTTCAGTTGAATGTTTTGAAGATTTTTAAATCTCTGCGATAATCTCATCAAATTTTTAGTAATAATAGCGTTTATCTGTAAGTAGTAGGTAAGATTTCATGAATTACTACAGAAATACCCCCAAAGAGAAATCTTTAACAACTGGATGATTGAGTGACTTCCACTATCATCATGTTTGAGTGACTTTCATAATCACCAATGTCCATTGAACTTAAAACAGAGCTACAAAGAATATACAGTGATACAGGAGAGATACCCCACCCTCCATCAGCCATATGGCCACGAACTCAAGAGCTGAACCCCCTGGAACGCTCAATAGCAGGGAAAACACTTAAAGAGTTCGCAGGACAGATTCGGGGTATTGTCTATATCAAGAGCAACCCTTTTTCCAGTCTTCACCAACTAGTCTAAAGATTTCTTTGTCCTTGGTCACTAACCAGCAGAATTAACAAAGAAAGAAAGGAAACAATCTCAGTTGGTAGTAACTTGTAAGAGCAAAACTTCCCAAGTAAAGAGTAACCCAGAACAAAAAAAAGAACCACGTTAAGCTACAAGCTCGAAAGTAGCCCAAATCACCCCCACAACTTCAGGTCAATTGCTTTACCTACCGGCCAAGGAGGGCACTATATATAGGGTATAAAAAGTACAGCTTGAAAGAAACTTACCTTGTCTAGATTTCTTGAATCCGCCATTGAAGCTGTTTGCTGCCCCGTCAGGCCTTCTCTTCCTCGTGTCCATTTGCAGCCTGGCTCCCAAGAGATTCAGATCCAGATACAAAACACGGCTCAAACAGGTCCAACAGCCGCCGAATTGAAAGAAGAACTAGCCAAAACCCTCCCTAAAACCCAAAGTAGTTCAAGAGCTGAACTGGAGCAGCAGCAGCTAAAGCTTAATGAGTATAGAGGACAAGCCGGCGGCGAGAGAAAAGGAGGGGAGAGGGTGTATATAGCCTGGGAAAGGAAAGAAGGGGATGAACTGATAAGCGAAGTAAGAGAAGATAGATAGATAGGGCTGGAAAACGAACGTGAGAAGAAAAAATGATTCCGCGGCGGGGAGATGATAATAGTTTTTTTTTTCTTTTATTTATTTATTTATTTATTGGTTGGTAATAATTTTAAATGATTTATTAATTGATAGGATTGGGGACTGGGGATTCAATTCCTCAATCAAGCTTTCTGTCAAAAAAAAAAAAAAAATTTCCTCAATCAAGCTTCAATTTTCAGAACTTAAGAGGAATTGAATTTTACGTCGGACTAATTAGGGTTTCAACTTTGATTTAGGAGCAATCAATGTTAAAAATTTTCTTTTAGTAGTATTTTATAAGTACGATTTAATATTCAATAAAAAAAATTTTCAATTTTCTATCAAATACATGTTTACTTTATATCAAAAGAATCATAGTGATTCAAAAATATTAAAATTTAATGACAGGGGTATTTATTTGGTTAAAATAAAATATAATGAAAATTTGATAAATCAAGATATAAAATTTATCTAATTATGAGAGACTTGATATATCTAAATTTTAGAGATTTGAAATTTTTTCAACTAAAATAATAATATAAAAGATAAAAAAGCATAACTCTATATTTATGAATTCGATGAATTCATGTTTCAACTTTCAAATCCGTTTCTCTATAGTCCAAACGAGCACTAGAAAAGATGCGGCACCGCTAGCGCACCTTATTTTTAGGGAAAACAAGCAAAAAAAGGACAAAAAAATTAAAGATGGGCATGCCACGCGTAAGCGGATGATGATCTGTCTTTCGCGTGCAGGGTGACGGGATACATGAGAATGTTTATAATTAATGGCATTATCAATGGAGTTTGTTTTACTAGTTTCTTTCTAGGAGTAATATTTTCATGGTTTTTCCCTGGTTGGAAACCCAATAAATATTTTGACTTACTTACTTACAGATCCAATTAGTTTTTTTTTTTTTTTTTTGAGAAAGGGGAGGCGAGACCAAGGGTTACAGAGAAAAGGGCTCAAAGGTACAGCCTAGAGTTACAGCAGGCAGGTGAAAGGAGGAACAAACCTCAACCTACATAACACAACCAGACATTAATTCTGAGTTTGCAGATCCAATTAGTTAACAAGCCTGAAACTATGGTTAAGCTTTGTGTTCCAAACCAACTTCAACAGATTGAGGATGCTTGTGGGCACTGTAATAACAAATTCAAATCCAAAGCAATGAGAAGTGATCTCGTCATAGTAGGTGATGTCAAATTTACATGGCCCGAAGGTCATGATATATCATATTCTCTACGGTCTCTCACAACTAGTGATGGCAAATTGAACCCGACCTGACCCGCGATGGAGCCGGTATTACCCGACCCGCAATAGCGTGGGGCGAGGCATAGGTATCTACTTCCGACCCACTCTCCCCCCCCCCCCCCCGTCCCGCCCCGTTTTTAACTCATTCTATCTCTATTTCCTCCAATATCAATACATATTGCTCCTATTTTGACTTTTCTTCAACTACTTAGACTCCATCTTTCAACTTGTTAGACTCAATTACCCATTCTATTATCACTATTTTCATTCATGAAGTGTTTTCTCATTTTTTTCATCGTAAAAAGTAAAATTTGTGTGTATCTTTTTCAAATAACATGTAAGAGTGGGTCGACCCGCCCCGCCCTATTCAGACGCGGGTTTTACCCCCCCCCCCCCCCGACCAGTAATAGCGTGGGGTGGGGCATCGGTATTGAGGTACCCGCGCCCGCCCCACCCCATTGCCATCACTACTCACAACCACTTACTCAGGTGGTGAATGACGAGTTCTATGTTCGGAAAACGTATGTACAATTGACGTGCCTACGTTTTTTCAAAACGGAGAGTAAAAGAAAAGATAAGTGCATAAAATAATATCCACAACTAATGGCCCAGTGAAGGAAGAGAGAAGAGTAAGGCGTTGCACATGCAAGTTCTCCTTAGAGTTCATAGACGAGTGGCTTCGATATCAGCAACATACGAGTTGTTAATTTCTTATGTCGTCTAATCTCACACTGTGCCGAACCTTTTACCCAAACTAGTGGGCGACAAAGACCCTATTCTCCTGAGAGGTGTCACGTTGTTTGATCGAACGATGATTGTTTGGATAGAACCACCATGTATGGTCTTGTTCTAGACGACGAGGGTTTTGATACTTGCAGCACAAAGGGATGCAAGTTCGACAAGGCACTCATTCGAATCAACAAAAGACAACATAGAGGAAATAAAACACAAAACATAAGAAGATGAAATCAATCTTATTGCATACCAAACATTGAATTTATACGTCTAAAACCTCTAAGGTTCACAAACCTTTGCAACTAAGGGAACTAGCCGGCCAGGGGACGAGTTTTAGGGGATTCTTCAATTGAAACAAAGACCCATAATACCTCTAAAAATGGCAGTCATAGCAAAGAAATCGGGGTTCATGCTACTAATCCTGCATTCATTTTCTCCCTCGTCACCGGTCTTGCTCTATTTCGGGTGAGTTACTCTGTCGGCAGAGTAGCAGCCCTCTAATGCCTCCTATCACTAGCTACCGAGTTCTAAATCATAGGGACCTATTTATAGGCCTTAGATTAGGGTTTTCTGAGGAGGAGAACTCGGCCTTGACGCGCCATCCAGCTAATCAGAAGCATCCATCGGTGCAACTACTACTTCAGGATAAATCTAGGCACATTTTTTGACGAAGTTTGGACGCATCCTGAAACGGAGACCACAGTACCATTTAAGATCTGAGGCCGCCATTTTGGAAGCCTTTTTGAGTTCTAGTTTCCTCTTCAAGTCTTGCTCCCAACATTTGAGCCTCGATGTCCCTTGGTGCTCCCAAGTGGTCTTGTAGGCTACTTTGATTTGAAAATGCACAAACCAAAAGCATATCATAATAATAAAAGCAGTCATAGAGTTACTAAAACACACTTTGAGCATTCACATTGAAAATTCAATGTATGATGACAATAAATATGGGAACTGAATGCGTTTTTTGTCATAATACGAGGGTCTAAAATAGCATATTCTACGTGTCATTAGGAAGCATCCAAATCCATTGACGTCCTTGTTAGATTCTGATCGAAGGATGAGTTTCATTGTTTCTTGAATGAATTCGATTAACGGAGTGAGTTCTCAATTAAGCATAATCAGCTTTATATACTCAATTGATTAAATATAGGAGCGAGAAGGAACATGAAAGTTAAACCAAACTAAACTAACTTAACTGAATTACAAATTAATCCCTATACTAACCTCATATATGTACTCTAGACCTAATCATCTAACTGCTCTAACTTTTGAATGTATACAAAACAATCATTTGTCCTAATGCTCCCCGTAAGCTAAACATGGATAGATTTCATGTTGAGCTGGGAGATTACCTCTACAAATGTATGAAATAGTAAGGCTTTTGTAAAGGATTCAACAAGCTTTAGTGTTGTTGAATGTTGCACTTTAGTTTGTTGGCCAAAACCTGATCCCTCGTGAAGTGGCAGTGAACCTCGATATATTTGCTTCTTTCGTGCTAAACAGGGTTCACTATCATCTTAAGAGCAGAGAGGTTGTCGTAGTATATCATGTGGGGTTAATGAGGTTGAACAGGAAGCTAGTTGAATAATGTTATCATCCACTGCATCTTTTACATGTGTAAGCTAAGGCGTGGTATTCTGCTTCTGTTGATGAGGAAATTACCTAAAAAGACACAAAAACCAATTACTGATCGCCTTGTATTAGTACATCGAGCCCAGCCAGAGTCTCAGAAGGTTGTCAGTCTAATGGAATAGTTTTTGGGGAAGAATAAACCATGAGCATGTGTCTTTTTGAGGTATCAAAGAAGTCTGTGGGTAGCCTGCTCATGTACATTAGTTGGAGCATCCACAAATTGACTTAATTGGTTTACTGTATAGCATATATCTTGTCGATTATTACATTTTTTTGAAAGTATTGGAAATTCATTGATAATGAATGCATAAGGTGACAAAATTTGGGCAAAAGCCCCATTGAGAGATACAACTATCCAGAGAAAGGCATACAGTCAACCCACAAGAATAACCAAGTCCTAAACACATGGCCTGAAAACCCTAATCCTGACCGAACTCCCAAAACGAAACCACCATCGCTCAAGAGACCAACACCACCCGAACGCCAGAAGTAGAGAGACGATCGTCGATGGAAAATACGGGAAACTTAAAGTCAACATCAGAGACCACCAGAGAGGAGGAGTGAAAGCAAATTAGCAAGAACCAACCTAATGGAGAAGATAAATAGACTGTGGAATTGCCAAGGAGAACAATCAGGAGCCCCGAAGATGGTTAACTCTGTCATCGAGCTCCAGGAAGCAGAAATCGTGGGAGGATCACACTAGGATTCCCAATACTTCTCTAAAACACCTAGCCGCAGTGGCGAAATAAGAGGAGGAACATAAACATGAATGAGAAGGCATATCGAAAAAATCTCAATCCCCTATATCGACCTACAAAATGTTTTCAATGTGCATATCTCATAGATCAGACATAAGACAGAAAGAAAAATGCCTTTATTGAAGAAAGTGGCGAGAAAAGACCCAAAGAGGAAGCACCGAAACATAAGAAAGCAGAGAAGAAAAGAAAGCATGATAAAAGGAAAATAAGGGGTTATCGCCTGCATCTTGAAGGTGCCAACGGTAGCCCACTGTAGAAACAAATATGAAGGCTTTTTAGAGAGAGGCGAGGTGTTAGAAACCTGAAGAGAAGGGTTGGGGATGAGTTATTACAGAGATATTGAAACCTTCGATGTAAGGTTTCTATAGCTTATGTGAACTTCAGCATCCAGAAGATCACCTTCTGATTTAGATAGGTGAGTAGCTCAAATAGAAGGTGTAGTTGTAGGTTTAAAAGTTAGGAAACTTGTATATAAAAGTATATCAAGAGTGTACTTCTTTTACATAAATATATACCATTATTAGATTTAGATACTTCCATATATAAGAAGTACTTTAATGGACCTATATCTTTGATTGTAAAGGCAACATTGAGCTTGTGTTTTATCATGTCAAGTTCTGAAAATTGTTGCTTGTTAAA